TGAAAGTTTTGTCGAATTGTCTACAGTCTTGTATTTTCTCATCTGTGTCTCCTTCGATATGCTGAACATTTCTTTCATTATTGTTGTCATTTCTTTTCTCAGCTGAGACATTATTTCTGATGTGATGTCTTCTATGGCCTGATGGAGTTGTTTCTTTACTTCAGTTGCTCTCATTTCAGAAACTTTAGGTGTATGACTTCCCAAGATTTTACCTGCCTTGTGTGCTGGTCAGGGATGCAAAGCTGGGACTCACCAGGCTTTCTGAAGATGTCTGGGGTTCAGCCCAGCCCAGGGCGACACACTTTGAGTGTGGCGGGTAACCACCGAGGCCCCAGAGGGTGCCTGAGGTTTCACCTGCCTTGCACGCTACTCAGGGAGGCAGAGCCCAGACTCATCGGGCTTCCTGAAGATGTTCAGGGTTTAGCCCAGCCTGGGATGACACACTATGGGTGTGGTGGGTAGCCACCGAGGCCCCAGAGGGTGCCCGTGTTTTCGTCTGCCTTGCACGCTGGTCAGGGAGGCAGAGTTCAGACTCACAGGGCTTCCTGAAGATGTCTTGTGTTCAGCCCAGCCCAGGAAGACACACTATGGGTGTCCATCTGGATACTTTTACTTGGAAAAAAATCAGAGATTCTTCAGCTTCCAAGGCCTTCAGTTCTCTGAACACATGGATAGATCTAGCAAGTAATGGAATCAAAACAGGACCCAGATAATATATTTTGAGAACACTTAGGTGTTATGAATATTATTGGGATGAGAGGTCTTTACAATTATTACATAAATATTAAATCACTATATCTAAGCTGATATATTGGACATAATTTTTTCTCAAAGAAGAGGAATGTCAGAGAAGATAAACTACACAAGCATTTGACAACAAAGGAGGAAGAGAAGCAACAACTTTTTCATATGTTCTAAACTAAATCTTTAAGTGAGGATGAAACAGCCTCCCACTACCTGAGTCCAGGTTGTTTGTGCACCTGCAGGAGTAGGACAATGGAGATGATCACAAAGACAGAGACAAAAGACACTGAGCAATATGCATTCCCACCAGCGGTGGAGAAGAGTTGCTATTTCTCCACAGCCTTGCCAGCATTTGTTATTGGTTGATTTCTTAATGCTAGCCATTCTTACTGGGGTGAGATGGAATCTTAACATTGTTTTAATTTGCATTTCTCCAATGACTATTGATGTTGAACATTTTCTCATGTATTTATTTGCCATTTGTATCTCTTTATCTGAGAAGTGTGTGTTCATCTAAGATGCCCATTTTTGGATTGGGTCTTTGAATTTGGAGGGGTGGGGCTGGTGCTTTTTGATTCTTTATATATTCTAGATAGAAGACCTTTACCTGAGGGACAGTCAGCTAAAATTTTTTCCCAATTTGTGGGTTTTCTTTTGACTCTGCTGGTGATTTCTTTAGATGTGCAGAAACTTTTCAGTAGGATGAGATCCCAGTTGTTCATTCTTTGAAGTATTTCACGAGCAGTTTGGTTTTTGTTCGTGAACTCTCTGCCTACCCCTATGTCTTCAAGATTTTTACCTACTTTCTCTTCCAATAGATTTCCTTAGCAAACTAGGTCTAGAGGTCCCATTCAACCCAGCTATTCCCCTTCTGGGTATTTTCCCAGAAGATCTGAAAACGTCATATCACAGCAATATGTGTGCACTCATGTTCATAGCAGCACAATTTGTAATTGCTAAACTGTGGAAGCAACCCAAATGTCCATCCGCTGAGGATTGGATAAAAAAATTGTGGTACTTTTATATAATGGAATATTACTCAGCTATAAAGAAAGATAAACTTGAGGCTTTTATAGGTAAATGGTCACAACTAGAGACAGTACTCATAAGTAAAATAAATCACACTTGTATGTGTAAGAATCGTATTGTCTTACTAGTGTAAGACCTGAAAGAGTGAATAAAAACTAGGAGGTATGATAGACATTGTGAAACGAAAGGAAAATGCTCAAAAGTAAAGGACAACTGGGGCGTGGGAAAAGAGAATGGAAAGAAGGGGAAATTATGTAAATATGTGTATACAGGATAGCTAACATAGTTGTACTACTGTCTTCTATTGCTGTATAGAAAGGAACAGCTAGTGTTTACTTGTTTAATCAATCTTGTCAGTCTCTATTTGTTTTCTCAAGAAACCACTTTGAAGATATCAATAAGTAATAGAACAACCATGGTTAATTTCCTACAACTTTGTCTGTAGCTCTGTTTTGTTTGTATTGTTTTTATGCTATTTTGTAAATGGATGTCTGTGTATTAATATGTTTTCCTTGTTTTATTCCTTTTTTTTTTTTGGTTTTTGGCCGGTACCAGGAATTGAACTCATGACCTTGTGCTTGCCAAGCAGACACTGTGCTGCTGAGCTAAATCCCTAGTGCCTCCTTGTTTTATTTCTTAAAATAAAAAAGACATTGAGCAAATCATGCCTGCACACGTTGATCGCTTCTAGACTTGAGAGAATTAAAATATTTCATCAGTGCAAATTACTGAGCAGTCTACATGTACTTGGTAAGCATGATGTATTTATTATGACTGAGTACAGGGACCTGATTTTAACAAATTTCTTATCCCTCTATGATGATTGAGGAAAACTCTTATCTTTGCAACCAGCACTTTCACCCCATGGATAAAATCATGTTATATATACCAGAAGACATGAGAGATAGTATTTAGTCAGTTTTACTCCTGATGGTATAAAATTTCATCAATACAAAAGACTACACATTTTTATTTTCATTGTACAGCGTGAAAAATTGGAGAGCACTGAAAACATGAATATATGCAAAATCCAAAACCAAGATGGAACCTTGGAAGTGCAGGGAAGAAAATAACAACCAAACATTGGGAATGTTGCTCAGTGCAAGAGCACTTGCCTAATGTGAGTGAGACCCAGTGTTCAGCACAACAAAAACCATTATTATCATTATTTCAATAACAAGATACATAGACTCATTACCTTTAGACTTGATTAAGGTTCAAGAAATAATAAACAAAAGAAACAATATAAATTGTGAGACATTACCTAAGGGATAACAATCCATTAAGTTTCTCTCTTTGCTGTTCTTGAGATAAGATCTCACTAAGTTGCCCAGGCTGGCCTCAAACCTCTGATCTTCCTGTCTCAGCCATTTGAGGAGCTAGGATTACAGGAATGTGTCACTGCAGTCAGCTAATTGGTTATATTTCTGTCAAATTATATTTCTGTTTTTTTGACAAGTAGGTATAGTAGTGACAATCAAACCGTGGTTGCATTTATCTGATTTATCTTTATACTATATAAGAATATAAGAAATTAGATGTTAGGGTCATCCAAATAATCTGGGATGAGCTACTCCCCTGGAAAGATCTTGTTCACATAAGAGCCATTCAACCTCTTATCATGGAAAGTCATAAATCCAAGTGACAGGAATGAGAACATGGAAATTTTGTTACAATAGCAACCATTCAACTCATGACTGAGCTGTCTTGCCCAGGACACCTCCCTCTACTGTAATTAACTGGTTGCTCTGAGAAAAGCAACTGCTAGGAAAAGATTTCTCATGTAGGACTGAATGAAATCCTAACCCCCAACTACACATTCCCTACTTCTGCTGTGCTTATGAAAAGATAATTCTCTTTATTTAGTCCATATATTAGAGTTATGGTTTCTTTTACTTGAGACCTGACACCATCGTTTTACTCATAAAGTTCCATAATCCCCAAACCTTCTCAGTCAAATGAGATACTGTCATTATGTAAATTTCATAACTAGTGAAACTAAACAGGGTTAATGCCACTACAACATCACAAAGATGCTGTTTGGGAGAAACAATTCAGTAATTACATAATTGAGTATAGAAGGTCAGTTCCTTTGCCACACAGTAAATCTTGTGTGACATGCAACCTTCTTGTTCCTAAATGTAAGAATAGGCTAAATCAAGTCTCAAGGTACTAATGTGACCTTCCTTATAACTTTCCCTGCACTATCTACTACTATGGATTTGAACCATAAAATTTCATTAAAACAGAACCCCCCGCTGAGCTGCTGATTCAATGGAGGCAGAGCAGTGAAATGGAATCTAAATCCTTATTTCAAAAACTACAGAGCTTGACAAAAATAAAAGTCAGAGATTATACCCAGCTGGACACATACTTAGCCAATATATAATCTAGAATTTTTGGAAGAATTTATAAGTTGGAGAGGCATTCTAACTTATCTGTATTTCTGTCATACTAACTTATACTACAAACTCAAACCCAAAGTTAATGACACAATCAAAGAAAAGATATCCTCCTAAAGAGCTGTGTCAAAGCTCCTTGTATTTCTCTGTTTCTCAAACTATAAATAAAAGGGTTTAGCATTTGAGGGATCACAATATACATCATTGAAGCAACTATGTTCTTAATGGAAGAGTCGCTGATAGCAGAACTCATGTAGACTCCAAAAATTGTCCCATAGAACAGGGACACAACCGAGAGGTGAGACCCACAGGTGGAAAATGCTTTATACCTTCCACCTCCTGATGGAATCTTCAAAATGGAGGAGATAATTTGAGTATAAGAGAAAGTTATCCCCAAAACAGGAACACCAGCAAATAGGGTAGTCACCAAATATACCAAAAGGTTATTGATGAAGGTATCAGAACGGGAGAGCTTGATGACCTGAACAAGTTCACAGAAAAAGTGTGGGATTTCCAGGTCTGTGCAGAAGGACAGCCGCAGCACCATTGGACTGTGAAGCAGGGCACTCACGATGGTAATGATCATGGAGAGTAGAACCAGCAGGACACACAGGTGTTGGTTTAAAATGGTTGTGTACCTCAGTGGGTGACAAATGGCCACATAGAGGTCATAGGCCATCACTGCAAGGAGACAATTTTCTAAAGCACCAAAAGTCAAGACAAAGCAGATCTGAGAGAGGCAGCCTGTGTAAGAGATGCTATGGTCGTGTGTTTGGATGCTCACAAGCATCTTAGGGATCGTGGTGGTGCTTATACAAATGTCAGTGAAGGACAGGTTGGAGAGGAAGAAGTACATGGGGGTGTGCAGGTGTGAGTCAGAGCTGATAGTCAGGATGATGAGCAGGTTCCCCAGGATGGTGACCAGGTACATGGCCAGGAACAGGCTGAAGATGAGGGCCTGCAGTTCTGGGTCATCTGTCAGTCCAAGGAGAAAGAACTCTAAAACAGCTGTTTGGTTTATGGGTTCCATAATGTTGGTGAATCTTCATAGAATGGATGGGATGAAAAAAATTGAATAAATGATTTATGTAGAAGCAAAATGAGCATCATCTAAAATGTAATTATGTATGAAAAACTTTATTTTTTTAAATAAAAGGAAGAAAACATTAACAGACACACAACATTTTACAAAATAGCAAAAGAACAGTACAGACAATA